GGTGCGTAGATGGCGGTGTAGAAGTTGGACAGCGCGCTGATCTCGCGGCCCAGCGCGCTGTTGTGCGCGACGGTCGGCAGCACCGCCAGCACGCGGCCTTGCCGGCGCAGGACGTGAAAGCGCACCTGGCTGGTCTGGGGCTCCAGCGCGTAGACGCTGTCGATGAGATTGGCGTACCAGTCGGCGCCGTACTCGATGTGCTGCTGCTCGGCCTGGCTCATCAGCGCCAGGGCCTCTGGCGGCAGTTCGCGCACGTGGACGTAGGTGTCCACGCTGGCACCGCTGCGGTGGACCATGATTTCGCTGTCCACCTGCCTGGCGCCCTGGCGGCGCACGCCGCGTGCCCCGCGGCGCAGCAGGCCGTACAGCGACGGCAGGCCGGCGTGGCGGTAGACGCTGACGTGCTGGATCCAGCGCTGCGACGTGGACCAGGCCAGCAGGTCGGCATCGGCATTCGTGTAGAACTCGACGACCGCACCCGGCGCGCGGCGGAACAAGTCCTCCAGCGTGCGCAGCAGCAGCACGCGGCCCGGCGCGAAGCGCTCGAAGCGCTCGTCGAAGGCGGTCTTGAGCATGACGCCCATGCTCCGGCGCAGCAGCATCATGCGCGAGGCCAGCAGCTGGTCGTCCAGCCACAGCTCGTACACGAGGGCTTCACCTCGGGCGGCGAAATCGTGCATGACCTCGGCGTAGAAGCGACCCTGCGGGTTGTCGCTGCTGACCGCGGTGCCCTCGCGTCCCTTCCAGCCGCGGCTTTCCAGCTCGGCATAACGGGCCACGGCGGCGCCCATGTCGTCGGCCGCCGAAATGACCACGAGCCGTTCGGTCCCGCCTTCGGACTGCAGCCGGCGCAGATAGCGCCGCATGTTCTGGATCAGCTTGCGCGGCCGCTGCGCCCAGTAGTCGTCAAAGCTGTCGCGCAGCGCCACGTTCATGGTCAGCGCGTGCGGCAGGGCCTTGGCGGGGCGGCCCGGCGATTCGCGCCAGTCACCGAAACGCGGGTCGTTGCAAAGCAGGTCCAGCTCGCTGGCATAGCCGGGCAGCACGCGGAACAGGCCCGCAAGCGGCAGGCCGGGGGCAATCAGGCTCGGGCCGATCTGCGTCTGCGAGGGCAGGTAGCTCGACCAGACGCCCAGCCCGCGCGACTGGCCTTGCAGCAGCAGCATCGCGACCGGCTCGCCGCTGGTGCGGGCGACGGCCAGCTGCACCCCGCGCTCGCCAAAATGGCGCAGCAGCGCGTCGACAAACGCGCTGTCCAGCATGCCGTGGCCATGCATCAGCCGGGCGTTCAAGGCG